AATTTAATTAATAAAAAATCTTTGTCTTGCATCGCACGCAACTTGCAAAAAACAAAAAAAACAAAAAATCCTCAAATCCTCCTCGAGAAAAGTACGTAAAGCCAACAACTACGTGACAAAAAAAACATCGGCGACGGAAACAAGTCTCGAGAATAAAATTATAACGGCGCACACAACAATTTTGACGTTCTGCTAATCACATAATCATAGCGTTGCGGAGCAATGTATATATTTGCGCATTGCCGACGACGTTGCCGGGATATTAGCTATATTCATTACAGGGTCTCTCGAGCTGCACCGATCAATAATTTGTTTCCCAACTGTCACGCCCCTCGTTGCTTACAGGACGAACGACCGAGACGAGAACAAACGAACGAGCGAGAGAGAATACCAACCGATCCTGCGAAAAAAAAAAAATCTAGACGCGACAATTCTCGCTACTATTTGAACATCGACATTGCGTTTCCGCGATTTTGAATATAACGTCTGAAAGAGATCGGCAAATTCACACATTTTCAAACGAAAAACGTTTGTTTCCACAGCGAGCGGAACTGTTGCATCAGTGAGAGAAACCGAAGGAAGGGAGAAAGAAAAGAGAGGAAGGGCAAGAAGAGTGGGAGATATGAATGCGCCCGATACCTACATCTTACAACCTTACCTCTTCCACGAATCTAAGTACCAATTTGTTAACTACTCTCTCGAAATCGCGATAAAATGTCCCGATTCGCGCGCAACGCGATAAATTTCCCATCCCGACCTAACAACCCCGCGATGTTCTTCAGTTTTCCCGGGAAATTTGGTGAGAGAATTGGCGTTTTTCACGCCAAGCCGGACAACGGGTTGCCAATGCCCTCAGAAAACTGAGATACCACCAGCTGTGTTCACCCGCTTCATTACCTACCGAGTGAACGCAGAGTGGCTCCCTGTCCTCCGAAAGCTCGTTCCGCTGATCTCTCTTGCACGTGCCGCTCTTACCGACCGGATAATGACGTGCCCACCAATTGTCACGCCACTTCGGGATTACCCTTCGCGCGGCCGGTGGGTCTCTCCCGCTTATCTCTCTCAAAACCAGTATTTTAACACCACGTATTATCTCTTCGTCAAAAAAAACTCGAGCTCGCGCCACACGTGACGATTCCCGTTATCGATCGAGTTGAAGAGAGAATCTTTCCGCATCGCGCGATATAAAAACGTTGTTTTTTTTTTTTTTTTTTGACTTATGCGCGGCGTCTTCGAGTAAATCAGCACGCGACGACCGCAGACGAAGAAAAGAAGTTTAAATCATTCGTATTGTTCGAAAGTTTGACATTTTATTTTTCCCATCGTTGCTCTCATTTGCAATCAGACTCGAGAAACAAACTTCTGTAGATGCACTCTTGTATAAAATTTTTTTACGCATATACAAAGATTAATTCTAAACAGCACGCGATGGCACCACTATCGCGCGAATGATGTAACAAAAAGAGAGAGAAAGAGAGAGAAAGAGAGAAATCCCGAGAAACTTAAAAGACAGATATAAAACTCGCGCCGGACTGCGCGTGATTCACGACTCGCGCGAATTCGTGTCGCGAATACTGGCGAGTGAAAGGATATAATCGAAGGCCCGGTAACCGTTAAAAAAAAAAAAAAAAAAAACTCAGAAACCAAAACCGTGATTCGCGTGATTGAAAACGATACGTTGTTTGCGCCAATGTGGTTCCCCCCCCCCCGGCACGCAATTTGTTTTCAAATGGACGATATCGCGGCGATCTCGCGTCCTTTAAATTTCAACCGCAAAACCGCAGACGAGAGTCGTCGCGAATGTGACAAATTTTTCCCATCTATTCGCGCGAATTTCGCGCTAATTACGAGATTGTCGCGTTTTACAAAGTCCGGCGCAAACTCCAAGAAAGGTGACACCGATGCTTTGTTTGTCATCGTCTCTTATCTGTATGTGCTGTTAGCGTTAGAAATAAAACGCGTGCGGGAACATCACGTCTGATGAGACACGAGAGGGAAACAATCCTCGCAAATGCTTTTTACGCGAGAAAAATCCAACATTTATTCTGCCGCGACGGAGAAACAGAGAACAGTTCGTCAAAACACTGATCGCATCGTACGTGATTTGATCAAATATTATGAAGAGACATGCGCACAATCCGGGTATTATTTGATAAAACCACGTATTTTTGGAAGAAAAATATGATAGGCTAAGATGACGAAATATTTGGAAAACTTGGAAGACAGCAACAATCGATGGAAGGTGTTCGACTTGTTTTTCTCAGTTTCTCGAAGAGAATCGTCGAGTGACGTGTCTAAAAATCGTAAGCCCGTTATATCCAACGTATGCGGACAATTAACGAAAGTGGAAAATACACGCGCGTATATACGCGTGAGTTCATCAGAAATTCTAGAAAATACATAAGACATTCACGCTTCCTCTTTCTTCATTCACATACAAGAACGCAAAAATATCAAGTTCACAGATAAAAGAACCGGATATCTTATCGCTAATTATGAAAAAACTCTTATAACTATTTTAAGGTTTCAATTGGTCTTAACTTTCTGACGCTTATTTTCCTTTGCGTGAAAGCACAATTTCTTATAAAAGAAATATTTTACACGCGGTTAGAGAAAAACTATTATAACAAGAAACGATTTATTTTAGTTTATTATTTAATTAATGAGCGTCGTGCAACTTCGGATCAAAGCACACGATGTGTGTACTTGAGAAAAAAAGAAAATACACAAAAAATGCACAAAAACACACAAGTACAAAAAACTGAGATGTAGCAAATGTTTGTCTATTTGAAACTTTTTATGCTACAATATCAATACACAATAACAAAAATCTGTCTTCGGTTTCTGTCACGAGATCGTCGCGACTGATCTGTCATCAGTTTCTCGTCTCAATAATCTGGAGATGAATCGATAAACACATCGATTTATTAACAGCTCGGATTGCATTACGTGTAATTTTCAGTCAAGATAAAAATACGTCCGCAAAATAAGTCGTTAAACATTAACGATCCGGGTAATGTAAGAACCGCTAACAGAAATGACGTCATATTCGATAAACAGTCTCCCTTGCATAATTGTCAATTTAAAGCTTCTCGTGTGGCGCGTATACAAACACGTATTATCTCGATTCTTTTATCGCGATGTCTATACGCCGCGTTCTATCTTTGATATAACGTCAACAGAGCGAGAAAAAGAGAGAGAGAGAGAAAGAAGAAGAAAGAGCGCGCGCAAATTTTTCGCGCGCAATAGCGGCACACAACTTTGCGGTGCGAAGAGCGAAACGACGCAGCCGCGTTCCAAGGTCAAAGTGATAAGTCGGTCAAACTGCGGGGTTATCGCGCGCAATTCCGCATTTCACTTGTTCAAATGGAAAGTCTAACACTCACGTAACCCTTCCGTGTCCTATTCGATTAGAAAGCGATTTTTCAGCGACGGAATTGCGAAATTTGTTCGGACAAACTCGTCGTGAAATTGAATATCTTATATTTTCAACATACACGTACATATAATGTGTGTGTGTTAAAAGTACCACACACCACACACGCACACACACACACACACACACACACAAAATTGTGAATATAAATTTTATAGATATTAAAAAATTATGCTTTGGAGTCAGTAAAATTCACGACTCAGTTTTTTAGTTTTTTTTTTTTTTTTATAATTGTCACTTTTTGCGCTGAGAAGGAAATGTGCGAATAATTGTGAATTGCTTGAAGTACGAAAGATTGGTAAGTCCATTGTTCATACATGACTAGGCTAAAAGCGACCCGCCCGATGACGCATTATTTTGGCCTCCTCGGTCCTCAACCGTGCCAAGGTTTAGACAAGTGCGTACACCACATAATTCGCACAATCCTTATTTGCCATTCAAGTGTTATTTAATCGTAACATTTCGTCGGAAACTTATTCATTCAAAATTTATTTTCTCGCGATTATTTTGTTTTGTGAAATATTTTATTTAAAACCGCAAACATTTTTACGTAACGTAAAAACCACTTTTCCTGTTGCAGAGCGTTGATTTATATTTAATATTATTGTATCTCATATTTTCAATATATCTTTTCACTCGTATTGTTCAACCAATGGAACAAAAACATTTGTCTGAGAGACTTTTTCTTTAGGCGATATATTCAGAGACACTCTGTTAACATTACACGCGCTAATTACGTAAGGATGATTACCGTGTAAACGACGGTTTTTTATATAGCCCGAGAGATCGTTTTCCTCAATCCGGTCGGGCTTTGTTTTGCGTTTAGAGCTCAACTACTAACTGTGAGAGGGAGAGAAAGAGAGAAAGAACCAATTGCTCTATTGGCGGCGCAGAAAGTTGTTTTCGGAAGCTCACACAGCTTCATTGAGAGCGTTGGAAACGAGCCAATAGGAGATCACACAGCAGAAAGTTTGTCGCGCGTCGATGCGTCGTTTAAAACCAAAGAGAGTACATATATATCCTATATATATATATATATACAACCCATTATCTTCGGTTCGAACGACGTCACGCTTCGTGACGTGTCGTGTATACACTCAATAATATCGAGCTGGCTTGGTGTGTCCGAAAATCCAAGTTGACACGAGAGATATTTCAGCAACACTCGGGGATTTGTTTTAAAATTATTTTTCAAACGATGGTACGCGTGTAATAATTTTGTACAATACAAAACATTTTGATTACACGTTTTTTCCTTTAAACCGACACGCGCGTGTACCATTTGTGTCCACGCAATATTTCACTATATGCGCGCTGCTATAAAAAAAAAAGAAATAAAAAAAAAATTTTGCCGAATTGTACGTATATTTGCTGAACAAGTAAAATTGTTTTATAATTTTCCTTCTTAACGGGAAAAACGACGTGTGTTTCAAATCCACGTGAACGAATTTCGATGGTTTAAAGATTTAATTAAAACACATCGCGCTGGATATTTTGTTCTGGGTATAAAGTCGCCAAAGTGTTTGAGCATTCGATAAAAGAAAAAATAAAGATTACTACTTACAATCTACTGCTGGGCTCGTTGCTGGCTTCATCGCCTTCGATCCGATAGACCTTGCCAGACATGACATACTCAAAGCTGTCCGCTCTCGTGCCGCCCTCCTGCTCTAGAAGGTTCCACTCGTTCCCGTCTGGATATCCGTCCTCACGTAACGTCGTGGCCAGTACCAGGCGGAACTTGTCACCTGAACACACAATGATATTTTGTTACACGCGTGTACCAACCCATCCTCCATCCTTAATTCAGCCCTTTTGCGCTCGTTGAAACATAATCCGCATGTGTATATTCCGACATAACATCATCGTTTCAAAACCTTAGATATCGGAGCGTAAACAAGTTGTAAAATAGTCGTTTAAAAAAAGTAATCAGTTACCGGCTTCTTTATTCCACACACACACACATCACTGTGTAGAAAAAGATTATCGAGTTTTATCGCAAAATTTTTGACAAATATTAATTCGCGCACTCGAGATACTATTTTATCTCGCGACATGAGATATGCCTCTAATTGTGCGAGTTTTGTGCGGTTTATAAATCAAAAACGAGCGCGCGTATAATAGAATTCGCGGAAGTTGAAACAGAGACGACTGATATAAAAATTCTGAGATTTTACTTTATTTACACGAAAATAGATCTTTGATTTGACTTGAGACCATGCGAGAAACGACAATGTGAGATGTGGATGCGTGTTAATATTATATTACAGACGTCGTTTCAGAGTCTAGAGATTGGATCAAGAAACACCGGAAGTTTTGACAATTAAGTCACTCGAGTTGCCCTTTGAGATAAGTAAGAATGTTTTCGTGCGTAATCTTGAAGCACAATATGCAAAAAGACACTCGGGACGCAGGGTCAAGGTTAAGTACACGCGACGGCAGGGTATAGCATGGGCTTTAATCGATACTACATCGTCGGCGCCGCCGCCGCCGCCACCGTCGCCGCCGCCACCACCACCGCTGCCCACCACCATCATCGTTACAGCTGCAACTGCCTCCGGTAGATGAAACGCCATATTATGCGCCATAGTATACGTGATTTACGACAAAAGCCAAGAGAATGAACAATTAATTAGATTTCGCGTTTCTTTCTTTTTTTTTTTTTTTTCTTACGTAGTGTACGACGTTCTTTTAGTTTATCTTATTTTGACGTTACTTTCTTTAGAGTTACATTATATTTTAATTTAACTGTTTGTGTTTGTCGATTCATGTTTATTTGGTTTATTTTGACGCGCGAGTGAACTGATAAAACCGGTTAATTAATATCACCGCTTCGGCGAATCGAGCTTACATCATAATAGCGTTACACCGTTCCGGCGACAACTGCTACGGATCATCCGAGCGTTGTGCGGTAATATATATCTCGCGTCTAAATTAACCCTCATTCGACCGAAATGCCGTATCCGATGAAGGAATATATGCTCGTTTCTCCTCGTGAAATTATTTAAGACACTCGGAAACGCGCGACAAATGTATGTATGTAGACGTGAATTTCACGACGAAAGGAGCGTATAATCCCTTCTCATCGGATATGACATGAGGATTAATTTCAGCGCGATTTATACGGAAAAAAACGTGAAAGCAATATTGCTATAAATATACAATGCCAACTTGAATGTCTAAGGTAATAAAACTAGAATTAATTAAACTTTTTCAGATAAAAATTCGATATTATATAAATAAATATTCCTGAAATTTGCTAAACTTATTAGAAACTATATATATATATATATATATATACATACGTGTGTGTGCGTGCATATCTACATATATGTGCTCGCGCAATATACACGCAATATATTTAATTACGTTGATCAGATATTCGAACAACTAATTAGACCATTAAAGAATTAATTAACACGGAATTAGGAAGAAAAGTCACTCCCGCTTTTCACGAAAAGAAGAGGGTGGGCGCGTGTGACCTTGAGAAAGCCCCGGTGATTCTCGGAGGTGGAGAGAGAAAGAGAGAGAGAGAGAGAGAAAGAAGGGAGGAAGAGGAGGAGGAGAGACCTCCCACGGAATCGATAACGCGTGACAGCGCGCAGTCGACAGCGACGTATATATATATGTATATATATGTATATACATATACATATATATATATCGCCCGGAACGGATCCAATACAACGATGTTAGCTTACCTCGGCGTAGCGCAGCGTCCATCTGGGTCCTGTCCGAAATCCCGCCGCCATCTTGGCCTCTGACGCGGATCTCGGGAGGCGCGCAACGTGCCGTCGCCCTCTCGCGCGGCGATTTTATTACACATTCTTTCCCGCGGCGACGCCGATTCTTTTTGCAAAACGTTTCTTTACTACGCGCGAAACAGGTTCATCTAGCGCGGCTCACCCGGCGGCGGCGGCGGCGGCGGCGGCGG